AGAGAGCTGAAGTAAGTTTAGGGGTTCGATTAGCATTGCAATAATGAAGTGAACGAAATAGAAATAACAGATCGGGATGTTTTGCCTATTTGTCAACTGCATGTAGTTGGCTAATTTCACTAGTAATTTGGCATGCAATCATAAGCAAATGTGACATACATGAACACTTCTTTGTGAAGTCATCTTAGAGGGAGACATATAATTGTAACTTTATGTAAAGAGAAACTAAATGCCAACTATAATTATATGGAGGGAGTTAAGCAATGTAGGCAGCAAATTTTTGAGAAGTCCAGTTTGAACTGTCCAAGTCACACATGACATGAAAACGAGTAACAGCATAAAATAATGTGTAGGGACATGCCTCCTGCCATATACAAATCCATCAAGTTAAAAAGAAAAATATAGCAGAACACTTTTTGTTGGATGGATTAACTTTTCAGCAGAAAAAATATGCAACTATTTGGTTCATGAGCTCATCACAAATGACAGATGTAACTTATTAATATTTTTAAAGATTGAATCACAAAATAATTGCACAAAAAAATAACAAATAATTATTTTATGCCACGATAGAGAGAAGTTTCGGATATCAAGATGTTTAAATGGACGCACTCCCATAATGACTCTTTGGTGGCCAACAGCCTCTGACTTCAGAATGGAAGTTATCAAGAGGGGCTACTAAAATCTGAGCGACTAGACTCCTAGTGCTTTTAATGGTTGCCACTACTTTGAATGTAAACCTTAGTTATATCCTGGTATTTTAGTTTTTTTGTTGTTTTAATGCTAATTTTTCCATATACTACGACTAAATCCACAGTAGGATGGCAGCGACTACCCCGTCGAAGTGATGCTACTATATCTAAAAATTGTAGATGTTTAAAAATGATTAGGGCTCTCAAAGATTTTTTTATAATGTAGTTGAAGTTGGGGCTCTAAAATTTGAGTGTTTGATTACATTCAAAACATATGTTCTAAATGCTGGGAACAACATAAATAGGATGTTAATCATCAGATAAAAAATAAGAAAAAAATTACAAGCAAATTAGATGGAAATTTTTTGCAAAGAAAAGGTACCTTAAATCTCAAAAAAGCACATCAGAAGGGAATTGTAATGTCACTTTAAGCTCCTTAGCTTACTTAGATTGCAGAGGCTTTGTCCTTGTGGTCTCAGGTCCTCTCACTAACACACAAAACAAGGTAAATAGAGAAGACCCTTGCAGCTCCTATTGCAATTCTCTTCCTGCTGTTCCAGTGTAGTGCTGGTTTTTCTATAATAATGAACACGACACATTGGATTTTGGTACGTGTTATTGGATTAAGCATAAATGTTGATAAGAAAGTTGTGTCCCATTATTCCTTTCTTTTGTTGCCATGAACCATAAAACTTTTTCATAGGAAAGGGATGTATCAACATTTGCTTGTAATATGAAGAGAATCGACACAATTTGTAATTGATGGCCAACATGCATTCATTTGATGCATACAATTGGCAAGTTTGAGTTATTTACCAAACCCATGCCATTTTTAAACAAATTTCGCAAATACGAGTTATTTTGAACATGATTCTCAAACCCACATTGTTCTTAAAACACAAACTTCAAATTCCCAAGCTGGATTTGGGAAATAAGTTCAAAACAATTCGCATTTGGGAAATCTGTTTTAGAACAACATCGATTTGGTAAAACCCTCAGAAACGTGTCTTAGTGCACAACTGGATGCCGAAAGGAGTTGACAAACCCATTTGTCTGTAGGCTATCTAGTATATGGTGGTCCATAGCAAGTTCGAAAATAAGGTAAAACATTATTCCTAAAACAGAAAATAGAGGTAAAACATTATTTAGATTTGTTACCTATGCATGCATATATATATATGTATATATATATAGGGTTAGTTTGGAATATCCTAAAACAGAGGCACATTTGGTCACAATCGAGAATCAAAAAAAAGGGGCAATCCGAAATTTTAACCAAACCCATTCACGAAATCATAAAAGCCCTAAAAATTGTCTTCGAAATCAACAAAAAATGAAAAAAAAAAAAACGATTAAAAACCCTATAGAAATCGTTAGAGTCACGGGGATGGGAGACAAGCGACAAAGATATACAAATAGACAGACCCAAGTGGACAGAGAGGGAGAGAGATCAGAGAAAAATACCTGTAATCAGTGGTGGGGCTGATTTCTAGTGCTCGTGGTGGCCAGCGTTGGCGGCCAGCGATGGCGATAATCGACGGTCAAGTTTGGTATTGAGTGTTGGTGTATGAGGTCTGTACGTATATGTTGGTGTGTGAGATAAAACAGTTCCAAAATGGGTCTGTGAAATAAATAGTGGGCGCGAATATGTAATAAGTTTCCCTCTAAAAAAAAATTTCGAAGATTTAGCGACCAAATCAATGTTTGTCGCCAAAATTCCTTAACAGCGACTAAATATTAGTCGCCAAAAGCATCCTAATTTGGCTACTAATCAAATTTTTCGACGGCAATGTTTACCATACAACGACTAACTGAGTTTTGGTCGCCAGAAATTCATAAAAAATACGCCAAAAAATTGGCGACAAATATTTTTTGTCGGAAAATGGTAGCAAACGACGACTACAATGAAGTTTGGTCGCCAATAATAATATATGGCGACTAAATTAATTTAGTAGCTAAAACTTTTCCACAAATGCCGACTAAATTTTGTTTTTGGTCGCCCAATATGTTGCTTTTGGCGACTAAAATTGTTTTGGTAGCCAATTTTAGTCGCCAAATATGATTTTTGTTGTAGTGTGGTGAGAAGCCAGCACTAACTCACAGGACCAAAAACACTTGTTGCCACCACCCAAAAACTAGCTTAATTGCCACATATTGTACCAACACTTGAATGGCATAAGGAGTAATACATTGCGTTAATCTAATTATTATATATCATATGAGAAATAAATTTGCCAAAAAAAATTTAGTCATTTGTTTTTTGGGTAGGTAAAAAAATTTAGTCATTTTCACTACAGGAAAAATGGTGTACAACAACGTTTTTTTTGTGGCGTTTAAGGAAACGCCACTATAAATTAACGAAACACAACGTTTTCAAAAAACGTTGTGTCTGATCTCAGTGAAACGGCACCGTATTGGGTCAATGTATTGACCGTCAAAACCTCCGTCTCTTTGAACTCAGTCTCTCTTACTCAGTTTCTACCACAACTCAGTTTCCCTCTCTTCCAAAACCCTCGATTTGAAGCTCTCACTCTCTCTCGCTCAGTTTCAAATACACTCTCTCGCTCGCTCGCTCGCTCAATTTCTCATTTTCAACCCTCGATTTGCTCGATTGCAGATCCAAAACCCTCGATGGTTTGCGCTTCATCGATCTCTGTCGCTCGCAATCGAACTCTCTAGCTATTCTTCATCGATCTCTATCGCTCGAGGGCTTTGCTCTAGCTCTTCTTCATCGAACTCGAACTCGATCTGTTCTTCATCAAATCGATCCATTCTGTTCTTCATCAAATCGATATGTTCTTCATCAAATCGCAGATCCAAAATCCAAAATCGATCTGTTCTAGCATATCTCTCTTGCTCTTATATCAGGTACATTTTTCATTCTCTACTTTCTCATTGTCAAATCTGCTGATCTGTTATACTTTCTCTGTAATTTTTTCGTTCTTTAGTTTAAAAAATTTGGATTCTATTTACTTAAAATGTTTGTAATTGTCGAAGTCTTAGTGGATTCTATTTACTTAAAATGTTTGTAATTGTCGAAGTCTTAGTGGATTCTATTTACTTAAAATGTTTGTAATTGTCGAAGTCTTAGTGGATTCTATTTACTTAAAATGTTTGTAATTGTCGAAGTCTTAGTGGATTCTATTTACTTAAAATGTTTGTAATTGTCGAAGTCTTAGTGGATTCTATTTACTTAAAATGTTTGTAATTGTCGAAGTCTTAGTGGATTCTATTTACTTAAAATGTTTGTAATTGTCGAAGTCTTAGTGGATTCTATTTACTTAAAATGTTTGTAATTGTCGAAGTCTTAGTGGATTCTATTTACTTAAAATGTTTGTAATTGTCGAAGTCTTAGTGGATTCTATTTACTTAAAATGTTTGTAATTGTCGAAGTCTTAGTGGATTCTATTTACTTAAAATGTTTGTAATTGCCGAAGTCTTAGTGGATTCTATTTACTTAAAATGTTTGTAATTGCCGAAGTCTTAGTGGATTCTATTTACTTAAAATGTTTGTAATTGCCGAAGTCTTAGTGGATTCTATTTACTTAAAATGTTTGTAATTGCCGAAGTCTTAGTGGATTCTATTTACTTAAAATGTTTGTAATTGCCGAAGTCTTAGTGGATTCTATTTACTTAAAATGTTTGTAATTGCCGAAGTCTTAGTGGATAAAAAAAAAACTTGTACTTCATTTTTCTTTATTTTATTTTATAAACCCAAAGTTCAAACGCAACCGAAATATGAAATTGTAAACAGGGGTTTAAAGCAGATGAAGGTACAAGTTTATAACTAAATTTAGTTTGAGTTAGAGCTCAAGGTATGAGTTTGCGACTTAGTATGAAATTGTAACCAGGGGTTTAAAAATTTATTTTAAAACTCATACTAAATTTCTTATTAGTAGACATAAAGGTTTGAGTTTCACGCGTATTCAGTAATGTGGATCTTATTATCTTTGTGTAGTGGTAAAAATTAATAAATAAATAAAATGTAGCGAGAAACTCATTTACTATAGCATCATTCATTTTATATTTCCCAAAATATTGGCTCAATCGAATATCAAGCTACTCAGGATTGAATACCCTGAGCCAACATATGTGCTTATTTATTTATTATTTTTTATATTTCAAAAATAAGCTTGTCATTTTGGTGCTAGAAATTGTATTTGGCAGACTACGAGTACTTTCCTTAAATATGTATCTGAAACCCAGACAGTAATATAAACATTTTACAAGAAATTACCACTGATTGTGTTACTTATCTTGTTAGTTTTTTTCCCCCTTCCTTCTATTTGTTCTCTCAAATAACTACTTTCCCTTTGGTTCTTTGCATTGTTTTTAAATGGTTTGCAGAAAGGTATTGATGAGAACTGGGCAGCTGCTCTTGAACACAATCCTGAAGCTTTTGCAAGGGTGGTATGTGTAATTGACTGCCACATGTAAAAACTGTACTTATTATTTCTTGGTAAATGAGTTTTAAATTATTTTTGAACTTTTCGGGGTCATGTTATATGTTGACATGGAAGTCAATGGTGTCCCTTTGAAGGTAGTAACAAGGGAAATAGCATGGTTTGCTTCCATGCTTTTCTATATTTTTTATCGTTACACTTGTTTTTAATTCTACATGCAGTAACAGCCTTGTGTTTCTTGTATTGCCTGCTAAACATTTTCCCCCCCCCCTCTCTTGGAACATGCTTACTTGGTCTTTAATGCAGTTGTTAAGTACTGTGCTCTATGTTGTTTTTCTTGCACAATCCAATGATTAATTGTTGCAGATAGCTTACAGTTCAAGTTTAGAAGTTTGAGTCGGTGATGTTGAGTAGTGTAGCTTGTTACTTTGTATTTTAAAATCCTCTTCCCTGTTGCTTTGATTGATTGTAGACTTTTTGCTTCACTTCCTTTCAGGCGTTCGTTGATAGTGGTGCTCAGTCAACAATCATATCTAAAAGCTGCGCTGAGCGCTGTGCGTAAGTTCTATTTATTGCACTTAGTTCTGAACAATTATACCTTGCTTCCTTAGAAAGATTAGTAATGTAGATTAACATACAAAAACCTGCGCGTGCTTGAACTACCTGTAGATGCATGCAAACACCTGATTAATATTTGACTTTTGTACTTGTGTAGAACAATTCTAAAAGAGCAACCAATCCACTTCATTCCTATCAAATTGACATCTCTTCCCTGTGTTCTTAGTTTGTTTTGCGTTATTTTAGGGTAGGCCAAATGGCAATGTGGTGTGAATATGAATCATGGAGTAGAATGACAATGTGGCAGGGACATGAATCATTGACATTACCCATGTCCATTACATAGATGAACCTCTCTGAAATTAGTGGTTATAACTTATAGCTTATTTATGTGATTGCTCAAGTTAAGGTAGTGTCTGGTGTGCAAATTTATGTGATTTCTGTGAGTCTGTGCCGTCGTCTTATTGATATAATTCGAAAGATGGTTGACCCAGAGGAAATGTGAAGTGAAGTTTTCATTGTTGTAACTTGTACCTTTGTCATTTGGAAGAGATCTTTCTATGGCTATTGCACACATTTTTCAGTTGGTAACTAGGTAAGATGGAGTTGAATAATGCCGTTCGTGTTTTAATACATTATAGTTGGGTAACCGGCTTAAGCTAGCTACTACTTGTTTTTTTTTGTTTCCTCCATTCGTAAAGATTGTCATCCTGGTATTTGAGTTTTGGATCTTCATGTGTTCACTTAATCCAAGGCCTTATTTATTTATACAATAATGTGGTGAAAGGTATTCTTGCAACTCGAGAGTGGGAATTTGGAAAGTAACGACTTGAATACTTAACAAACAGTTGACTATATAAGAGACCTTGAGACTTTGTTTGCTTCAAGATTATGAAACAGCATGTAGGAAATTACATAATGTTTTAGCTGAAGAATTCAGTACAGTGCAAACAAGCCTTGTAAATGGGGAAAAGGGCCAAGCCCTGGTTCAACACACACCTTTTCTACCTAAAAACTGCAAACAAGCTAAAGAATCCAAGAGCTCCAATAGAGACAATCTTCTAAATTTTCTTGATCCTGATGACTGATAGAAACATTTTTCCTATGCACTTCTGTGGGCATAGATTGTTAGTGATTCATGTTATTCATTTTGTCATGATCATTGTTTTCTACTTTGTCTACACTATAGTATGTTTAAGATCTAAGTGAAGAAAGGCTTATTGTCATTGATACATCCTCTTGCAGATTGTTGAGGCTTATGGATCAACGTTATAAGGGCATTGCTCATGGGGTTGGTCAATCGGAGATATTAGGTCGGATTCATGTTGCTCCAATCAAGGTAATGTCCATACCAGTTTTCTAGGGGAGTTGCTTTGTCGCCTTTGATTTTCTGATCAGTAGGCCTCTATGTCTGCATGTGCATGCACACCTACTTGTGTGTATGGATAATCTGATGTGTTTTGCTTTTCTATTGTTATACTTCTCTCAAAGCACATTTAAGTATGAAAATGGAGAGCATGTTTGACACCTGTTGACTTCTTGTTATTCAAATGTTTCATAATTTACTGATTGGGAAATGTTTGAGTACTTGGTTTAGTGACAATCTATATTTTGTTGTTGTCTGCAATTCATGTGTCATCTTCAGTAGTTGGAGGTTCTCCTCTTTTTCCTTACTCCATGCTTTGTATGTTCTGTGTGTGTAAGCAAGGTGTGGAAAAATATTGTGCTTACCTTTAGTTTGTAATTACAGGGAAGCACATCTCTCATTTGTGCGCTCTTAGCCTTACAGGTTATTATTAGTTTGAAATATGTTGATGAATATATGACATGTATCTGATTTCTCTTTAAAAAAAATTCTTTACTATGCGAGATGAAAGTTTAGTATCTCTTTTTTGTACTATTGTAAACTTGTATGCTAACATTTTATCTTTGTTTCTTTCTTCTTTCTTCTTTTTTTTTTTTAAAAAAAAAATCATTTTTAGGTTGGGAATGTGTTTTACCCTTGTTCCTTCGTGGTTTTGGATTCTCCTAATATGGATTTCCTTTTTGGGCTGGATATGCTTCGTAAGCACCAGGTAACATGGTTATTCTTTCAAGCTGTTTAAATTTATGACTTTCTCCAAAACCCAGAGTGGTTAAATAGTTAGTTCTAAGTAGCTACTGGTTGCAGTGCATAATTGATTTGAAGGAGAATGTCTTGAGAGTTGGTGGAGGAGAGGTTTCAGTACCCTTTTTGCAAGGTTGTTTTGTGTTTCCCACACTATCTGCACTACTTGCGTTATTTACTTTTTCACTTGTGGTTAATTTCCATTGAATTGATTTGTTTGTCTGTGATTTCTGGATTTTTTGAAAAGCTTAAATTTTGGATTTATTTCAGAAAAAGACATTCCAACTAATTTTCTGGATGAAGTTGCAAAGCAAGCCTCAAGCTCTGGAGCACAGGTAGGGATATTCCTGACCATGTGCTTTCACTAAACGGATTATACTCTGATAATTGCACTGTGTGATGGTTTAGCATATGTTCTATATTCTTGTTTTCTTATTCTCTTTATCTATTAAATGCTCAAATGCACATCTGGTAAATATTTGATATATAACTTTGTTGAACAAGTTGCGTAGAAGAATTGCAGAACTTTGCCAGTAGTATTTTATTTTTCTCTTTGAATTGCATTAGGATATTGATTAATTATGGAAATAAAAATTTATTTAAAAAAAAAAAAAAACCATGAAGCCTAAAACCCAAGTGCAAGAGTTTGAAGGGATGGTCTGAGAAGTTTAATCAGAAAAGTAGTTTTTGTTTGGTTCGACACCTCTGGTAATGCTGTAATTGGTTGGGCATGCAATGGTCTTTGTTGATTCATAGTACCCATGCTACATCCCTTCTTTCTTCATTTATTTTGAAGTTGAAGGTTACGAACCTCTGTGTGAGTATTGCATGCGACCTACCGTCTAGAGTGGTTTATGTGAACTGTTGTTAGATTTGGCCCTCTGATGGAACATAATTTTGGTTTTGTTCTCCTGTGATTTTGCAGGCTACATCTGGAACAAGAGAGAATAGCAGAACACAAACCGAGGGTCAGTCTTCTAATTAGTTCCAGTGTCCTTATATATGCTTTTATTGCATGCATGGTTTAACATGAATTATTATGCACATTTGCTTTGTTTCTGCAGAATAAAATTTCTTTAATTATAGCATCTAAAGATTGAATTTTCAAATATGACATACTTCGTTGAGTTCAAGGTGTGCTCTTTATCAATTGATGATGTGAAGATCAAGGTTTTAAGAAATTTATCCTTCTGGTTAAACTTCCCTCTCAAATCTTGGATATCAAAGAATGGTATCTCAGGTTGCACGTACTATCTTTTAGGTTTTTATTGTTTTTATTTGGCCATGCCACATGGGTTTACACTCATTCAAAATTCTCGTAAATGAGCTTTTTTGAATTCCTTTTGGTGTTTCAGCCACCTATGTAACCAGAGTTTGATATTTGGGAGACTGTCCTTGCGTAGCGCCTTGATGAGGGGGCCTCTCAGGAGATTGATGTTTACCATTAATAACCTGTCTGATATTTCCTCTTTTTGTTATTTGTCTTCTATTACGCATATTATTCAAATAAATTATATTATGTTCTTTTCACGTAATGAAATTAACTTGTGACAATCTCTCCCTTCCCCCGCAGGTAGTGCGCCTAACCGGTCACAGGTGATTTTACAATTTTAAATCATTTGAATTGCTGCTTATTAGCAAATATTCTGTATTTTATGCATTCTTTGGCTATATATTATTGCTGCATTTTTTTTTTTTAAATTAAAAATTTTAAATGCTGCATATTTCCTTCCAGTAGCTTATACCATCTGGTCAAATACATCATCTCATTGGTGTTGGGTGTTGAACCGTTGTGACCACAATAAATTTTCAGTAATTAAATGGCTTTGACGGAGATTATGATTTATAAGCACAATCAGGTCATAAATGAAGGTTGTTTGTCTGCAGGGACCTGAATTTGAAGCCAAAGTTACAAGACTGATTGAGCTAGGGTTTGGAAGAGAGGCAGTCGTACAAGCTCTAAAATTTTTTGATGGTAATGAAGACCAGGCTGCTGGGTATCTCTTTGGGGCCTAAAGGTGGTTTTTGTCTTTGTGAGTTTTGTGGACCAAAACTGGTTTCCACAGCGAACTTTTTGATAAAAAAAAAGAGAGAAAAAAAACATTTGTGTCTCTCTCTCAACATTCATTGGGCCTGTGATAGTACCTGCTTACGAAGTGTTGTATTTTGAATGTGAATTAATTTATATTTAAGATTTTTGAGAGCCTATTTCTTTGGGATTGTTCTTTCATGATTCTTCTATTATTTGCTCAATTTTAGGTTCGGAGGTCTAAGGGATTAAAGCTCTTCTAGTTTAATGACCTCAGATTTCTGAGATAAACCTATATATGCAGTGTGAATCGTGATGCATTACTTATGGATGGATCAAAATTCAATAGAAGGCAGCCCATGATTCAATATGACCAGAATAGATCATGTTGTGTTTCCATTTTCATTTTGAATTTCATTAGGTTGATGACTTTATAATAGAAGTCTGATGAACATCTTACAAATTACCAAGAGGGACAAAATGTCAGCTAGAAAATTACAGCTAAGAGGGACAACTTACAAATGAAAATGCTGAACTAACAGATGGAATATTTTTTGTTTCATGCAAGCTAAAACCTTCGTATATGCCTCGTCATCTTTGCAAACAATTGTGGCAAATGGAAATATTTTTATCCCCAACAATAATTAGTGAAGGAATAGAGAAAGGGAAGCACCAGACCTTTTCAAATTTTTTGTAAGGGGAAAGGAGTATAAACAAAGTAATCTAATCAAGTTTTTATTTTTATTATTATTAATTTATTTGTATTTTGTTTCTTTACTTTTTGTGTGCAATTAATATAATTATTAAGACGCGTAAAATAATCAAGTTGGACCACTCTTTTGATAATTAAATAGCCTAACTGGATTAATTAACGCAATTGGATAAGAACTCTATTTTATCATTATTCTTAAAAAAATGTTGGTGTACGGAATTGGTGTTGACTATTTATTTGCCACTAATTTTGTGCAGTAGCAAACCTAGTTCAGTTTTTTAAAGTAACTAGTAGTTGGGACGTGCGTTGTATGTGACATTTGATTTTTCATTAATTATTAGTATTATAATTATGTATATTTTTTAAATTAATAAGTGAGTCTATTTTGAAAAATATGTTAAAAGTTGACTTTTTAATTTTTTTTTAATTTTAAAAAAAAAAATATATACAAAAAGTAGAGAGATGATATGATCCAAAAAAACCAAAAAGTTAATAAGTTGGTTTAACTCAATTGCCAAAAGAGTATGGCGACTTTATGAGTAAATTGATCTGTATCTAAAATATAACTAAATAATAAATAAATACATACTTGGCTGAAGAATTTAAATGATAAAACAGTGATTTGATCCATAATAAACAATTATAAATATTATGTATATCAATATAGAAGTAGACATAGGAAATAAGAAAGAGTAGTTGTTTTTTGTTTTTTCAATCATCATTAGTGTAAAAAAAAAAAAATAAGGAGCTGACTTTATTTATTTTTATTTTTTTTATAAGAATGGAGATGATTTGTTTATATTTATATAGGACTCTTGGAAGCAGATATATTTATATGTTTATATTTCAATCATCCTCGTTTGATTTGTTTTTGGGAAACAAATTTGGAAAAAAAAATTTCAAAATTTTGTTTGGTTTAGTGATTTTGGAAAAAAATTTCCAAAATTATTTTTTCTTTCCTGCACATCAATCAATTACTTTTTTTCTCTCATCTCTCATTCTTAATCATTTTTTCTCTCATACATATCTACTCAATTACAATAAAACATCAAATCATCTCAAACTCCCATACTCCAAAACTATTTCCAAAATATACAACCAAACAAACCAAAAAAATTTCTAAACTCACTCTCCAAAATCTTTTTTGAAAATTTAGCTCCCAAAAACAAAATCAAACCAAACACACCCATTATTTTTGAGTGTTCAACTCCAAAAAAATAAAACATGCACTAGACATAAATAGTGGCAGTAAAGGTGATAGCATGATGATCATCACAAGAAGTTGACGTCGAGGGAATAACAATAGAAACAGTTAGAAGATGAAGTGGAATTGAAGGCCCTAGAGATAGAGGACGGAGGACGGGGAGGTTGGATACCAGTGGTCAAGCGAAGAGGTAGAAAAATGCATCCTAACTCGCGGCTTGAAAATTGAAGAGCATCTCTGTTTACATTATTTGTGGATAACTTGCTTGAATATATGGCACCTAGAATGTTGCACGATCAGTTCAACAAGTTTGGTGTGGTGAATGATGTATTCATACCACAAAAAAGGAGGAAATTAACAAACACCATATTTGGGTTCGTGCGCTATGATTGTTTTATTACAGCTAATATAGCTGAACAAAAGGCTAATGGTTTGTGGGTAGATGACAAATCTTTGTCAGTCAAAATCGTAGAGTATGGTAAAGGAATGGAGGATAGGCAGAAACAGAAACCCCTACCAACAAGACGTTCTGAACCCATGAAGGCCTCTGTTATGGCACCCAAATAGATTTCGCATCAACGCACTGATGATCGGTCGTTTGCGGAGGTCATCAAGGGAGCTGATCCTAGATGTTCACCGCTTGACAATATTGATTTTGTGACATTTAACTAATTGTTTCAAAAAATAGTATAAAAATAATTAATCTCACAATTTAAATAAAAAGAGGAGTAAAGAATGTGTTGGTCAGAGAGGGAGGTGGGCAAGATGCTATCATCTCATTCAGCTCAAAGGAAGAGTTGTTGAGCAACATGACTTTGCTTAAGTTTTGGTTCCATGACTGGTGTGAATATATCACAGAATAGAGAATAGGTATGTACCTTCAGCAAGAGAGGCGTGTCTGGATCAGCTGCTATGGGGTGCCTCTTAATCTATAGAACTCAGATACCTTTCGCAAGATAGGAAGGCTTTGGAGAGAGGTGGTTCTCTTAGATGGCGATGTCTGTACGCCTAAATCATTTTGTTGTGGTTGGTTTAAGATAGTTACAAGTGTTATGGAACCGATTAGTATAAGTGTAAACCTGGAGTGCAATGGAAGAGTTTATCCAATAAGAGTCTTTGAGGAGCAGATCACAGAAGAGGTTAGCATCAGTTGCAAAGGAATGAACTCTAATGCCACAAACAAAGATGTTTTCTCTAATATCAATGGGGTACTATCTTTTCCTGTAGAAGCTAACTTGGTAAACGAAGATGTTGACAAGGCAGTTGATGTGAGCTGGCTGATGGAGGCAGTTGGAGTCATGCTTCAGCAGTGGAAGAGACCAAGGATTGCGCGGGAATTTCAATGAAGAAGGCACAGGTGTAGTGGAGTCCTAATTGCCAGCAGAAAGCCTGCACCAGAGACAGTGCAATCATGATGCTCAGAAAGGTGTGGAAGTTTAGTTTGTGGGAAACATGCAACAGAGAGTAGGGGGCACTCATGAAACTCAAATAGGTGTAGTAGCACCTATAGTACATGGTCAAATTCTCACCCCAGGTTTTATTAAAAGCCTAAGCCAACCTCTTAAGGAAAGGCCTGGTATCTGCTTGGAGGTAGCTTTGGGCCATGACCTATTTGGGCTACAACTTATTGGGCCTTCTAACGCTGGACTTAAACCTTCATCTATAAGGCCAATTTGTGGAACATTAGGGGTGGGCTCTTAGTCAAAAACAAGCTCAGTATCAGCCCAGCAATTTCAGACTCCATTACTCATCGTTTAAAGAAAGGCAAGAGGAAAGGAATTAAAAGTGAAGGATTCAAGCATTCCTTGTTAGCTGGTAGGTTTACTGGATTTGCAAGAGGACTTGGGTAGAAGGGTGCAACTTCAAGCAAGGGAATCACTAAAGGCTCCAAGTCAGGATCCACAGCTGTACCTACATCAAACCATAGTCCAGAAATGCAGTAACCCTCTTCTGGTAATGGGTTTTTTCAAGAGGCTTAATCAATACTGCAACTGGGGCAAAGATTGGGTTTAAATTTCAAGGCTTAGGAAACTGATGTTATCAGGAAATTAGCACACATGGAGGAGAAGGATAAGGAGAGATTGGAGAGAAGGAAAGGTATTGAGGAATAACCTGCTTCAACTAGGAGAGACCAAGGTCATCTCTGTTCATATGAAGACTCTAAGTTGGAATATCAGAGGGTTAGGAAGGCATGAAAAGAGGAACAAAATCAAGAAATTGTTGCTAGAAAGAAAGATTGATACGGCTATGTTCCAAGAAACAAAAAAAATCAAGCCTAACCAGTTTGGTGGTGAAAAGTATCTGGCCTAGGGATAGGCTTGAGTTCATGAATGTAGGTGCTGAAGGGTTGGCATGTGGTCTACTTTGTATCTGGGACCCTGGCATCTTCGAGCTTACAGAGTGCTGTTGCAACAGAAATTTTATTTTCCTATCTGGTAAGATTTACAACTCATTTGAATGTGTAATTATTAATGTTCATGCTCCCAATGACATCATAAGAAGAAGGAACTTCTGGGAGACTTTGTTAAATTTGAAAGCTTGTTTTCCCAAGCCTTGGTGTCTTGGAGGGGATTTCAATGAGATCAGGAATGTAAGAAATAGTAGGTGTATCACTCAGGGATAGGGGCATGAAGGAGTTCAATAATTTCATAGATAGATGTGAGATTGTAGATTTGCTAATGTTAGGTAGAAACTACACCTTGTGCAATGCCTTTGATGAAAATAAGTGGAGCAGAATAGATAGGTTTCTTCTTAGCCCTGAATGGCTGGAAAAATTTAAATTCAATCAGTGGGGTCTTCCTAGAATTGCATCTGATCACTGCCCTATTGTACTCATGGAGGATGCTAGGGATTGGGTGCCTAAACCTTTTAAGTTCTTGAATGCTTGAATGTTGCATTTGAATTTTGCAGCTTTTGTGGAGCAAACTTGGAGGGATTCACAATTCTCAAGATCAATTGGTTTCATTCTACAGAGAAAATTGCATACCCTCAAGTTGGCTTAAAAAAAATGGAGTAGAGAGGTATATGGTAATGTTTCAACTAAATTACAAGACACTAAATATGAGTTTCATCAGTATGATCTGAAAGCTGAATCTAGACCTTTGGAGGAGAAAGAACTGAAGCAGCAAAGAGAAAAAAAAAATGAAAATGTGGATGTTGAGCAGGAAGTTGGAATGGGAATGGCTTCAAAAGTCTAGGCAAGATTGGAATTTGAAGGGAGATAGGAACACAAGATTCTTTCATGTCATAGCTACTAGTAGACA